GTTTTGCATTTGGGAGATTCCAGGTTTGATTCCTCCAAGTAAAAAACAAACTAACAAAACAAAAACATCAGAGAGCATGAGAAGTAGAGGACCTGTGTCTGAGAGCCTGAAGACCCTCTGACAGATGGAGTAGGCATTATGGGCAGGTGGACAGGATTCAGACAACATGCTAACCTACACTCAAGCATTGAGAATGAGTTGAGAATATGGCGGACAATCCCACAGTGCACAATCCAACAACAAACCATAGCTTGTTAGCAGAACTAGGTTCAAACAGCACAATAACCCACAGTTCATCAACAACCTTGAATGTAGGTTATCTTGTTGTCTGAACCCATAGTCTGACCTGATATGAAAGGCAACTTCTTAAGAAATTATAGGGAAAGAGTTGTTTCTGGGAAGATATAATGTACTGCTCAGTTTCTAACTGTGATTGCTTCTTCTGCAGGAGCATGACTTAGAGCAACTTCCCACAATCTGGCACTTTCCAGATGTGCTGGACTGAAACTCCCAGCATGGCTAGCAAAAGAACATCAGTTTAGTGAAGGCTGACTTAGGGTGAGCCTTTTCCAGAGGAAACCTTTCCCCTCGAACAACTGAACCAAGAATGCTTACAAAGACTTAAAAGGAGACATCTCTGTACATTCCTAGCATTTCCAAGTGAAGCAGATGTTTGATAAAGATTGGAATGTAGCATTATGAGCAAAGTCAGGTCAACAAAGCACTGTCAAGGTTAGGACTTGTGTACCTCTGTCCTGTCTTCATCCAGGTGCCTGAAGGTAAAGTGGCGGGTGGTAGAAAGTAGAAAGTGCTCTCATTGCAAATACAGCACATAGCAAATGGGACTAAGCTACAATCCAATAGCCTTGCTTCTTCTGTAAGCTCACAAAGTGGCCATAAGGATTTCATGGTCTCTCTGCCTTAACCTCACATCTGTAGTATGTGATGGGTGGCCATGTGCCCTTCTTTACAGAGGACAGTCCTCTGTTTTCAAGGGCTGCTGAAGTATCTGATAGACTGTCCAGCTCTAGTCTGGTTTAAAGTCAAGGAGCCATACAGTTGCCCATCAAGGCTTGGCTTCTGGAGAGCATACTGGGCAGGCACACAGGGCAGTGGGTCACAGTCTTCCCTACCTAGTGAGGTGCACTGTAATTTGGTTTTAATTTCAGTAATTATTTAGAAATTTGCATCTAGACATATAATCAGCATCTGCACATTTAAAGCAAAGTGATGCTCCCTTTCAAACCCTCTTTTTTGGCAAGGTGCAAGTGCAGCATCCTCTTTTGCAAGCCACCCCATCAGAGGGCAGACGGTCTGGTGTAGCAATCCCCCTGCTGCCCACTGCCACCACCAAGACTGAACCAAGCCCAGTCTCCCCCATTCCCCAGCATTCACAGTCCCTTTGGGACAACTGCCTGAGGAGTCCAGTGAGGTCCTGTGTGTTGGCCTTCTCTGCAGCCCAACTGTGTGCTTAGGGGAACACAACTAGGTTGTGGGTTGCACTCGGCACATGACGTGCAACACGGCTGTTGAAACGGTGTAGTCTGACCCCAAATGTGGCATGGTTCTTGTGAGCCTCCCGCATTCACCCTCAAAGCAGACAACTTGGGTTTGGTGCAAACAGAATAAAGGATTCATTAAGGACTCAGGAAAATTTACAGACTGAGAAAAGGGGTGCTCAGAATCCTGAGTAGATCAAAGTAGCAGGAATCAGGTCAAAGTAGAAAATCTGTGCATAGGGCAAACAAAAGAGAAAAATCCACCTGGCTAGCACAGCTATGCACTGAGCTGCTAACTAGTTCCTTGAATACACAGTGTGCCCACGGGAAGGTTCTTCTGGTGCCTGTATCCAGCCTTTTCCCATTTGGCTGGGGAAACACTGTGCAGGAAGAACCTTGAGTGATCTTTCTTGGGCCTGCCTCAGGTTCCCTTGCACCCATGGAGACTTGTTCCTGCCATCTACACTGGAAGGGAAAAGCCCCAACATTTCCTTTCCCAATGGACTATATCTCCTCTGGCACCTCCATCCCTGCTTTCCTGGGTGGAGACTTCAAGAAAGCTCTTGTTTGTGTGTCTGCTGGCCGTCCAGTAGTGCTCATTCCCAGCTCTGAGACAGCTTTGAGGACATTCTTGTAGTTCAGTACCTGGACCGTTTACTACTGAGTAATTAGCCCAGTGGTGGGGCTTCTCCTATAGATGACCTCAGTCAGGTCATCGGCATTGCTTAAGCAGAGACCTGCAGCTGATTGGAAAGGGGAAGGTTCTGTCTCTTGGGCCTGGATAAGATGGAGTCAGTATGGTCTGGCTGAGCAGACTACTCCAGGCCAAGCATAACAGCAAGTAGGCAACCTTGGCCACAACATTCCACTCTCCAAACTAGGGAATACGTGAGTAGTCATCAGCAGCAGTCGTTCCTTAGGATGCTCATAATTCCCTCTGCTCTTCTTGACTCTTACTTAGCTTGTCTACCTTTTTAAAAATGTGGCAACCAGATGTAGTCCCTGCAGTGCAAATACAGCGGGAAAATGTCCAGCTGAGCATCCCAGGACACTCTGTCATCCAGCCCACTTCTAGGTATTTTGTTGTTCTAGGTGCGGTGGTATGTTGGCACCCTCCTGCAAAGGTCATCACCACTGTCTGTGGCTTTTCTCCCAGAACCTGCAGTTGTGCCTGTCATTTCTCTCTCCATCCAACCCCAGCCATCCACACACGCCTCACTCGGAACTCCCTTTCTTCTCCGGCTGCTGCCATCCTTCCCCTCCTCATACCTCCAAATCCACCTCAAGGACTCTTTCAGGGGAATTCAGGATGAGTGGTCCTGGACAGTGCACATGCACCACCACCACCTCCACCACAACCCCCCCTCCCTTTTTTGATTTGATGGCAGACATAGCATCCCTCTCACAGGACCATAGCACATGGGAAGGGTGGGCTTAGCTCTTTCGTTCCCTTCCATGGTCCCCAGGGAAATCATTCCTCCCATATGTCTGCTATTAGCTTCCAAAACCAATAGCAGAGGTCGGAGGAGGGAATTTCCATTGTGACCATGATGGGTGAGGAACGACTTAGCCCCTTTCCTGCATACTGTAGTCCCAATGAGGATGGCTCCATCCCCTAAGAAAAGAAGGAATTCATCAGCACTACCCCACGTATTCATAGTGCGTATGTCGGCACATATCAAGTTCTCTCAAGATTAATAGCCCAGAAGACATATTTTCTGTGCCTGGAGAAGCACGATAGTGGACAAGGAGCAACTGTTGAAAGAGACAGAGAGGAGCCAACGTCAAGGGAAACAGCAGGAGCTGGCAAGGGACTAGAGTGAGATAAAGTCTCTGAAGCAGGCAAGAACAAATCCATAGAGGCTCCTCTAAAAGAAGAAAAGTTTTGTGAACAGAGTGCAGATCTTAGGCAGTATCATACTGAGTCATTGGCCTCTCACAGTGGCTTCTGTAATCCTATCACCTGCAAATTCATGCAGACTCTGTTTTCCATAAACATGTGTTTGCTCACTCTTGCTTCTTACAGTGTATGTAAGACCTGGTGTCCAAATTTTGTACAAAGCGAGTTTCATTGCACCAGCCTCCATCGGGCGCGTGGCAATAGAAGACAAGGCAACATTTCAATTATTGCCTTATGAAGGCAGTGAATTGGGAGATGAAGTTGCAGATCTGGTCAATTGCCTGAGCAGAAAGACTGAGCAAAGCCAGTGATCCTGGTGCTTTTTGATTTTCTAAAGGAAGAGGTGTCAGGGTTTGAGCCTAACTGGATATTTTATCCTGTCCTATGATAGGAAGCCCTGCCCCATAATTATGCATTCAATGATTTTGAGAACTTTATTACTATTTATTCTGAAGTGACATGGTGAAACTAGAGATGAGAGAGAGATTTGTAATTATGTTCTTTCAAAGCAGTACACAAGCCAAATCTGTTATTCTTTGAAATTCAGAATTCTCTGAATGTTGCAACAAATTTTCCAAATAAAAAGTGCACATAAATGTGCATGTATTGATGTATAAAACATTAAAATGCATTTTCTTGGAAAACTCTTTTAAATGCGCATATTGGGAAAATTGCACCCAAATGCATATATTAAGAAAAATGTATACAAATTTAAATGCAATGTGTTTATGGAAAAAACCCCAAAACTTCATGTTCAGGACAAAATGAACTTAACACTGGAAAAATATCCAGGTTTGGAAAAAACTGAATTGAAGATTGGGGAGGGGGAATAAGAATCAGAGAGGAACTGAAATTAACAGATATGTCTGTCATTAGGTGAAACACCCGCATGAAGGCACATGTTTAGTGAAGTTTTAGCTAAGCTCTGCTTCTCACAATATCCAGGACCAGAACAGGATCTGGTCCTGAATACTCATGCAGACACTATTCATTGTATGGGAAGTGGGTGCACTCATGCCATCTTCTTGACCTCTATTGGTCCTCCTGACTTTCACTCACTGGACTTTACATTGGCTCTGGAGCTTTCTCACATAGGTTCCAAAGTGCATCCTATACGCTGCAGGCCCGGAGTGCACAGAATGTGCAATGTACCGCTCTGTACAGTGGAATCTATGGCATAGCAACCTGCATGAATGGCATATTGGGTGGACTGAAATGGTAAGTGCACATAGCATGTACGTATTCCTACTTTCTCAGAAATGCTTACTGTTTTCATACAGCCAACTAGAGTCAAGGCACCCCACCATTTTGGAACACCTCTTTGAATGGATGTGGTGGGTTTCGATGGTCTTTTATACAATATGTTGACTTGTCTGAACTATTATAAAGCCCCAACATACTCCCACTCCATCCTGTGCATGATATAATGAGATTAAGTAAAGATAATGCCTTGTTTAAGCAACCTCCTTTGCCTATTGTTATTGAATGATGACAGGTTCCTGATTATTTCCAGGAGGCACTTGGGAACTTCATCCCTATGACTTATTTGTTGACAATTAGTGAATGTACAAACACTGTTGGAAAAAAATGTTTAAAGGCTATTGCATCGCCACATGATTTTATTTCTTGATTTAACTACAATTCATAATGCCGTTGTAGATAATGTACATAATAAAGATATCCTAGTACAGGGTTTGGAGTAAATTTCACCATTTATTTCCCTAGTTGCATTTCATTGTGAAGACATTAAGGTCATTAGAGATTACTGCAGCAACCTTACTTTGAGTTTACATATAGAAGCGGTTGAAGTCGTGAGTGCATAGCAGACATTGCTGTTGATAAGGCAACCTGGCTCCTGCCAGCCAGTGCTACTATATAATAGGAATGTGATACAATATTGGCATAGGTTGTAAGAGCACAGCGTTGTAAACATCCCAGCTTCCCTGACATCTCCGCCAAGAAAGAGGCACACCGCAGTAGGGGTTCTGTGCATATCAGGAGCTGTGAAAAATCAGCAAAGCACAAATGAAGGCACTTCTGTGGTCTATTTTAAACATTGACATTGGAGTGCAGTGAATATACGATGCTATGTAATGTTAGCTGGACATGTGTACAGATGAACTACACTGCAAAGGAAATCATTTCCTCTAGCTTTATCTCAGAAAGCATCTAAAGGGAGTAAAGTCACCATCAATAGAAAATGCCAGGGAATGGTCCACAGCTTTGTCTAAGAGCACACCCAGAATATCACATCAGTGCTGTAAGGCACAGGCAAGAGTCTGAGAAATGACCTCAGAAAGGACAGAAACATCTTTACTCTGGCAGCAGGAAGCTGGCCATGCACACTACACTGTTAATGATAGTGCAGTGGATGGGTCAGAAAGCAGCAACAGCTGAAGTATTCTGCACACTTGCTCTGCAGAGATTATGTGAACTGAAACAGCACATCTAATTCCTAATTAAGAGCTTTGTAGGTGGGCTTGTGTAATGTAGAATCCTGTGTCGCATGGAGCAGTCCGTTTCGCAGAAGAAAAGACACACCTCTGCAAAAAGGCTCCTGCATGGCTGATGTATTGTCTTTTGTATATATTTTCTTTCACCCTTTGACTCCCCCTACCCCACACCACAACTCAGCCCCCTGAGTTGGGTATACATCGATCCATACACTCATATATATATTCAACGTCACTAAACATTGTCAAATTGACAGTCAAAATCTGTCATCCTGCAGACAATAAACTTCCACTGGCGGTCTCTGCAAGACAAGAGAAATACGAAACAAGCTTTAATGAACTGTGCGGGATGACATACAGAAAGAAAGAACATTGAAATGAATCAAGGAATTTTGACTGGTTCTTATGATCCATATGGATGAGCTGTAGGTAACTTGCAAAAGCAGTAATAAAAAGACATGTTTGTTTCCTTTCTTTCCCTCCCTCCCTCTTTCATCCAGCTTGGGCATTATGGTCTTGAGATACGATTCAGGACTGACAACTTCTGACGAGAAAAGTTGGGAGTCTGATCTGAAATGCTGGCCTTCTGGCTATTAGTGGCATCTTACCTTGACATTTAGGACAGGGTGGCATTTGCTTCCAACATGTGAGGGGCAAATGGGAGGGGGGTACATGGGCATATGCACAAGACCACCCCCAACATCTCTGGGTGCCTGGCTGCTGTTACAAATAGCAATGTATTTAGTGCAAGGACCTGAACTGGGCTTGCAAGCACATTCAACTGAACACTACTCATTTGGGAACCCACCTAGTCATCCAAATGTTCTGGATGAACATCTATGGGTATGTTCATCCACAGTCAGTTCAACAATGCCCTTCATTGGTCTTTATGGAGTTTCATCACACGTGAAGAGCGTTAGGATCCCTGGCAATGCTTGGAGTCCTCTGCATGTTTACTCTTATAAAGCGAATGTGGAAGGTACAAGATATCCTGTACTGCTCTGATTAGGTGAAGGGTAAGTTGTCTCCAAGAGTGGAATTTGTGTCTTCCATAATGGCCTTGTTCCTACCTCCATAGGGTAATCTATGCCAAACTTTTAGAAGTCTTTTCCCCTAAAAATGAACCACGGGATAATAAAACACTTTGGAAAGGTTAAACTGTCAAGACAATTTTTCCGTCTGACCTGTCCACACTGGAGAAAGTTGTGGTTGCTCCACGGATATAATAATCATAGCTGTACAGCATCATGTCCATGTCTTCACCATAGTGTCCAGGATATTCTGTTGTCAACCTTTTAAATAGAGGGAAAAATCAGTTGACCCTGTAAAATATGCATGCAAACCATGGTGGAGGTGGGAATAGCACAACTTCATTTCTTTCTCTGCCCACTGAAAAGCTAAATCAACATGTGTCTGAACTCAGGTCATGGCACATCAGTATTAACTGATCTAGGTATTCATTTGCCTATGAGTTTCAGTCAGGGCCTGCAATTCCATGTCTTTACTCAGCCGAAGCAGAATCTGGGCCTGGACATAGAATTTCCTAAAAGACTGTTCCCGAAAAGGCAGGTTTCTAAATCTTAGGGTGATAAAGAAGAATTTGAAAAGTGGTGGGCAATACTTGGTGAAATTGCAGAAGCCTGGCAGATGACCAGGGAAATTAGAGAAATCTGCAACAGATTCAAATGAGCTTGGATTTCTATGAATCCAAAGCCTGCTGATTCCACGGTGAACTGGCTTTTTCTAAGTAAGATGAATGTTGTGAATTTGCAAGCCAGATTCTTTGGGAGGTGGGGATTTGTGTAAATTCATACTTGGGCTAATGCATGTTACTGCTAAGTGTTTCAGACCAACACTGATGTGTATTAGCGTATATGCGACTGAACATTTAAGCACATTAGCAGAAATGGAATGACTTTCTCTTACATCCTTAAAAACAGTTTTATTCCATCAATAACCAGATAGTGGAACATAACACATATGAAACATAATGGAAACACAGATGGAATTGATTTAACAAAACCAGTACTTTGCTAGATGACTAAGCATATCCCATAGTTTTTGGTAAGTGAGACATCAGTACTCTCCAGGGCTCCTTGCTGCTCACCTCATAGATAGTGGGGGCTCAATAAATCATGCAGAATGAGCAACATTTTGTAAAATATGAAGCTAGAAAAATTGCTCCATTTATATAATGCATACCTGTAAAAAATGGAATATTTATTTGAGAACATGAACATCTATGTTTTATTGTTGAATATTTCTTCACTTGGTTTTAAATTACTGAACTTTAGCAGCCCAATGTGAAATCCTATATTCTTGAAACAGAGAAATGGAGACTGAGTGGTGGTGCTTCTCTTTCCCTCTCATTCTCTCCCTGCATTTTAAAATCTCTCACAGGAGCAACAGGTCATGGGTAGAATGAGGAACATTTTCCTCCCTGAGGTGTAATGACCAAGCCAAAGTGTTTCACTCCCAACAGTCCTGATTTGCACCCTTGTGTCATCAGTCATGCTTGCAGTGCTAAATGAAGGTTGCTATATTTTCAGTCCTGACAGGCTTCTCATCTCTAACAGTTATGGGCAAGCAGGCATAGCATGGGCCCCCTCCATGCTTGGCATAGCTGGACCGACTGTAAATGGCTGGTTCAGATGCTATTTTCATTTCAGTTCATTTTTGCTTACCGTATACCCAAATTCACATTTCCCCCAAATTTGGGTTGGAAATATTTAAATAATTTGAATGCGAGGGGAAGTGACAGTGACACATTCTTCTGTCCCTAAGATATAGAAGATGACTGCTGAAAGCTGTACTAGAGTTAGTTCCCTGTGATTTGGTGACTGACACATTTAGTGAACTAAGAGCCTGTCCATCTCCATGGTATACACCTGAATTACGGGCGATGAAGCGGGTTGGGAGACGACTAGAGCATAAGTGGAGGAAATCACGAGATGAATCTGACTGAACACACTTACGTGCTCACCATCGAGCCTAAGCTGCGGTGGTGAGGGCGGCGAAGAAGAAATTCTTCTCCACTTCTATTGCCTCCTCACAGTGCCGTCCAGTGGAGCTTTTTCGAGTGGTACATGGGCTGATATACCCCGGCCCTAAGAAAGATTCTGTACCACCATCGATGGCCCGGTGTGACAACTTTGCCCAGCACTTCAAGGAGAAAATCTCTCAGATTTGTCACGAGCTGGACTCCACAATTGATTCAGATCCCTTAGGGGACACACCAATAACCCTGTCTGGTCAGGTATTAATGGATGAATTTCAGTTAATGTGGCCCGATGATGTGGACAAGGTGCTTGGACAAGTATGTCCTACCACCTGCTTATTCGACCCTTACCCTTTGTTGCTGCTGACCAAAGCCAAACACGGGATTGGCTCCTGAATCCTGGAGGTTATTAACGCCTCTCTGAGGGATGGCCGGATGCCCGCTCCTTTAAAGAAGGCAGTAATCAGGCCTGTCCTAAAGAAGGCGTCTCTGGATCCAGAGATGGCCGCCAATTATAGACCGGTGGCCAACATCCTGTTTTTGGGCAAGCTGTTGGAACGGGTGGTGGCGGGACAACACGCACTCTTGGATGAAACTGATTATCTGGACCCATTTCAGTCCGGCTTCAGACCTGGGTACGGTACTGAATCTGCCTTGGTTGCCCTGTATGATGACCTGTGCAGGGAGAGAGACAGGGGGAGTGCATCCCTGTTGGTTCTCCTGGACCTCTCAGCGGTTTTCAATACCATCGACCATGGTATCCTCCTGGATAGGCTGGTGGGACTGGGAGTACGAGGCACTGCTTGGCAGTGGTTCTGCTCCTACCTTGAAGGCCAACTCCAGAAGGTGGTGCTGGGGGACTTTGGCTCTGCACCATGGAACTTTGCCATGGAGTACTGCAGCGTTCCATTTTGTCCTCCTTGCGATTTAATATCTACATGAAACCGCTGGAAGAGGTCATCAGGAGGTTTGGGCTGCGGAGTCATCAGTATGCTGATGACACCCAGCTCTACCTCTCTTTGTCAACTAATCCAGGTGAGGCATTGGCTGTACTGAACCGGTGCCTGGAGAGGTAATGGGCTGGATGAGGGCCAATAAACTGAAGCTCAATCCAGATAAGATGGCAGTTCTGTTGGTGGGTGATTCGAGCTCCTGGGTAGGTGACTTGAGCCTTGCCCTGGATGGGGTTGCACTCCCTCTAAAGGACAGGGTCCGCAGCTTGGGAGTGCTCCTTGACCCAGAGCTGTCCTTGGAAGCCCAAGTGACAGAGGTGGCGAGAAGTGCTTTCCTTCAGCTTTGGCTAATCCATCAGCTGCGTCCCTACCTGGAGGAAGATTGCCTAGCAACAGTAACACACACATTGGTTACTTCCCAGTTGGAGTTCTGTAATGCACTTTACGTGGGGCTTCCCTTGAAGACAGTGCGGATACTTCAGATGGTTCAAAATAGAGCTGCCAGGATGCTGTCGGGGACTGGGCGTTATTCTCATATAACCCCAGTCCTCTATCAGCTCCATTGGCTTCCCATCAAAGTCCAGGCTCAATTCAAGGTGCTGGTTATTACCTATAAAGCCCTAAACGGCTTGGGACCAGGATACCTAAAGGAACGCCTTTTTCCCTATTTGCCCTCCCGCCCCCTGAGATCGGCAACAGAAGCCCTCCTCCGGGAACCCTCTGTGAAAGATGTTAGAAGACAGAGTACCTGGAGGAAGGCCTTCTCTGTGGTGGCGCCCCGACTATGGAATGCGCTCCCCAGAGAGGGCTGCCTGGTGCCGTCATTATATGGTTTTCAGTGCCAAGTTAAGACCTTTTTATTCAATCAATATTGTAATATGTTCTAATATTGAATTTTATTATTGTATTTTATTAATTTGCAGCCAGAGTGGGTCATCAATTTATTTATGCTGTTAGCCATCCAGAGACGTTAGTAATTGGACAGCATACAAATTTTATAAATAAGTAAGTAAGTAAATTTGGGTCTTATTATTGAATTGACTCATTGAAACAGCACATCTAAATTAAAGGCAACATGGAAAGAAATAAAAACTTGGTCATTCCTTGTTTTCAGTAGTTTCCACTGTCAGTTACTTTGGTCACGAAAAAATGCTTCAAATATTGCCAAGTGTTTGTGTTGCTGTTACATGGCATCAAGTTGTCTCTGACTTATGGTGAACCTACGAATGAATGTTATCCAGAATGTCCTGTCCTGGACAGCCCTGCTCAGCTCTTCTAAACTCAAAGATGTGCCTTCCTTTATGGAATCGAGCCATGGATAGTTGGTCTTCCTCGTCTTCTGCTTCTCCCTGCAACCTTCCTAGCATGATTGTCTTCCTCAGTGAAGCAGTTTGTAAAGTGTACTTTCTCCTTTAAGCTGTGCTATCGAATCCAAACCTCCTTTTTCTTCCAGCTGGCCATTGTCACAGAACAATCTGAAAGAGGTTATAGCAACAACTCCAGTCTGAAACAGGCCTGTGTCACTCTTCTGCTTGATCAGAGGATTAAGGACAATATAGAAATATTGGTTAAATTGTCCAGATACACACAAGAAGCACATGTTAAAGCCAGGAGTGGAAAGGAAGAATGTTATGTCTCACTTTGTATTCTGGTACTGTGGAGGTTGTCTGTAATCATGTAGTTATTTTCTGTGATCACAGAAACATTGACATTGCTCTATATTCCTCCATAATTAAATATATATTCCACAATGTTATTTTATTGGTTAAGTTTACTTTGTAATTCACATGGCAGATGGGATTTAATTGCAGTTCATTGTTCTGCTCTGTTCTTATTTTTTTCAAAAGACCATTTAGTGCACCATCTGAACATAACCAGTAACAGAATAGCACCGTTTAACAAATAATAGTGAAAAAGACTAATCAACTCTGAAATTCTGGAACCATTTGAATTTCTTAATGATCGACTGATTGCTTAATGTAAAATCCTCTCAGCTCCTCTCTTGCTGTTGGTATGCATGTGTGGATCACGGGGTCCTTACTACACAGCACTCTACATCTATGGATCCTTATACATGAATAGTCATGTAGCTGGATCAGAGTGAGGGGGTGGCTTTTGTGCTACTGTGATCGGACATGTCCTGGCTAAACTCCTCCCTCTCCACCAGCTCCATAGAACCACTTTCTTTGGTGACGATACACTATTTTATCCTATGGTCAAATTGAGAAACATGTGCTGCCATTTAACAAGGGATTCCACTGCAACTTGTAGAGCTGTGTGAGCTCAGAGTTTCCTTGCTCAAGGTAACTACATCCATTCACCCATCACACATTTTGACCATGAGTGAGATACCAATGGAATCGAGAGAGCATAACTCTAAGATACCTTAGCACTTGTGCCACACAAGACATCTAGATGTTACCCACTCATCCTAAAAAAGGAGGCAGGAAGATATAGAAGTAGGAAGTTCTGAGTCAGAACTAAATACTTTTTCTTTTGTAGGTGAAAGCCAGAGTTGGGAAGAAGGAGAAATGCATACCGGGGCTGACCCAAACATCCTCCTCAACGAACTGTCTTGCTAAATCTCAGAAGGGTCAGGCACAAAAGCGGAGGGTGCAACCAGGCTTACCTTTTCACCAGGATGACTCCTCTTTTTCAACTCCATCATTTTATGGTGGTGGAGGTGGTAACAGCAGTAATGTTGGCTGTGCTCCTGCTAGTGGATACTGGCTGGAGTTGGCCCTTTCTGTCCTCTAGAATGCTTTTGGGAACAATGCAATGTGATTGCAGTGCACCGTTTCCAAAAGCATTCAGAAATAAAAATAGTGACCATCCACCAACAGCCATCAAGAAAATTGTCACCACCAGCCCTCTATCATCCTTCACCCGCTTTGTCACGTTACATACTCTCCCCCAATTCACCAAAATCCCCACCACCAGTGGAAGACTACTGAAAACGGTGACCGGGTGTGATGTGTCTCTCTAAACAGAGTAACAAGGCTGACAATACAGCTACGGAAAAGGGAGCACAGCAGCAGCAGCAAAAGGCAGCCAAAAATCTCATGTTCTCCACACATTTGAGTTGTCAGTGAAACACTTTATTAACCTCAAGACTTGGCAAACCCAGCAAAGGAAATGACTATATCCATCAGCACAAGCATGCTGTAAAGTCCTGGCAAATATGGTCATTGCCTAGACAGGCAATGGTGAGGGAAAGCAGTTGTGGCAGGAGCTGGCCCCTGTGAAACTCAGCAGCCTTGTTTAGCGAGGGAAAACAGTATGTGCAGACAGCTCAGAGGACGTGTGTTTATGTTTGCGAGCTTCAAGTTGAGCAACTCATCCCCACACCCCCAAGATACAGAATGATGCGGTAGGTGGGGTCATTCTGCAATGACACAATCACATCTGCAAGGAGCGTGCTGCTTTTCTATTTAAACCTTTTAATTATTCCTTCCAGAAAAATTCTGAACAGTTATAGGACACCTGGCCTCTCATCACAGAACTATAAAACCTAGTTAATTGCATTCCAAGATTGCATTATGATAGTGTAATAAAAATGTCCTAGATAGAAGAGTAAGGCTCACCAGTTCATGTTGAATTAAGGTCGCAGACCCACCCAGCAACTGCTGAGGCAAGCTTCTAGTTCGGAAACTCAGTTACTGAACTGCAATATGGAAATAATAATGACCTACCCTCATAAGGAGTTATTTAATTATTTAAGGATGAAATCATGTGCATGTTTTGACAGAAAAAATGCTCACAATTCCTTGAATGCCCCAGTCAACCATGTTGCAGGAACTGTAGGCTGTTTTTTCTGGCCAAACATGCTTAAAATTGTACCCTAAAAGTATTCTTCTTTAAAAGCTTCAGAGAGGAACAATGCACATGTGCAAGTCAGAAGCAGAAAGATGGTGCTTTAAACATGATTCAAACTTAGCCTCATGCTTCAATTGAGGAGAGAACTATATATCAACCCAGCAAATGGGGCTGAATCAAGACTTAGTCAAACGTTGGGTAAGCCCGTTGCAACCAATGAAACTTGAGCTGGGGATTAACTTAAGTCCCAGTGATTTATATAGGTCTACTCTTGGTATGACTGAATCTGGATCCAACTTGGAGTCTTCAAGGTAGCAATTTAATTAAAAAAGTGGCAGTGTTGTTTGCCCTGCTGAAAAATAAAAGAAATTTCTTTATCTCAGGAACCAAATACCTTAAGATTGTCTTCTCAGGTAAAACAGAGAGCATCTCCTTCACAGGATACAGTTGGGAGGATTCTTGCCTTAAGCGCAGGTGCAAAACAAACAGTAGGAAGGGCATTTGAAGGCTTTATTATGCAAAGTCTGAGATTCCTTCACTCTTTGTCTGTGAGGCATTTTTTAAAATGTTTTAAATGCTGAGCTTGTATGCATTGTTGTGTATTTAGGTCAGCAGCTGGCCAGACAAAAGAAGAGTAAACAGCTCACGAATATATAATTGAAAACTTGCCTTCCTGCTTAGTTCTGTTTCTCTGATACTTTGAATCAGTTTGGTTCAGTCACTTGAAGGAAAAAAATGTGCCAACTTTCACTTGGATTGGACAGGTAGGCAGGCATCCTGGCTTCATATTAGAATAGCTGTATGAACAATCTATTTCCTCAGCTTGTGATATATCAGTTTATGCTATTCTGTTCTAGGTTATTACAGCTGGTTTCAGAGTTAATTCAGGGATGCAATTCTATGCATCATTGGTCTTGAATAAGACAACTGAACATGGGTTTGCACTGCAAGAAAATGAGTACAGGCACATTTACCTGCTACTTATGGAATCCAGGTAACTCAAGCCGATCAGGTGTAAAATGCAAATTGGAATACCAGGTCAAAACCAGGAGCTCGGTGTCTGTGCTCCACAATAAATAAAAGGTATGAATTCTTGCATTTATTTTACCATGGGTGCCACACAGCCATGTGAGGGAGAGAGGCCAATGAAAGGTCACAGATCCCATCTGTTGCTCATTGGGGTAGATTTAATGGACTGTGTTCTGAGGTTGTTTGCCAGGAAATGTAGACGCAAGGATGAATTTTAGAAGGAGAGGTTCAAGGAGCAATTCTGTGCCAGAGAGCAGCACTAGAACTAATGGGTGGAGATTGCAGGGAAGCAATGGCTGAATGTTCAGAGAAACTTCCTAACATTAGTACAAGCTATTCAATAGTGGAACAAACTGTCTTAGGATGTGATGGGCTCTCCTTCTCTAGAGGTATTTAAGCAGATACTGGACAGTCATCTGCCAGGGATACTGTAGTAGTTGTTTTTAATTTGGAATTAAACAGGAGGTTGGATTAGATGATCTCTTAATGCTGGCTCCCTCTGCTAGGAAATGGAGATGAGCACCGCCCCCAAGAGTCAGACATGACTGGACTTTAATATCATGGGGAAGCCTTTACCTTTTCAGGTCTTTTCAAACTCTTCAATGCTATGATTCTTAATTAGCATTCCACCCATAGGACACTCTAGGAAAAAAACTTCTATTGCAGAGACCATATTGCTTCCCAGTGGATGCTCTGTGAGCGTGGCTATGAAAGGGACTTTTCAAAATAAGAAAACACTGGGAATGATGAGAACTGGGGCAAAGGAAAGGTCAGGGAGGGGGAAGAATATATGTATGAGTGTGCATGTGCAGGTGGGAAGAATGTATGTGGAGGGGGAGGGTGAAGAAGAGTATTGTGTGTATGCTGAGCCTGCATCTGGAGGCAGTGGTTCTACTTCTGGCACTGTATGTGTTCCTAGGGGGCAAAAGGTTGTGCATCCCTGCTCAAGGATGCAGGCTTTTCTGTCCTCTGCCTTTGGAGAAGGGCTGCTCTTTAACTCTTCAGTGGGTCAGGACAAGTGGCCGTTGCTCAGAGCAAGGAAGAAATCATTCTGTACGTAACCAGGAATACTTTTCTTCATAGTATAATATTACTTCATATCTGTTTCTTTAAAGGAGAGGCATGGCCACAGATGGGAAGGGGGTGGTGCTGGCATCATCCAGGTACAGAAAAGAAAGACATGTTTTAAAGAGCAAAAATAAATCTTTAAAAACCTTAATAAAAATGAAACATTTGGATGCAGTTGCAATGCACAAAGTACAAATTCCAGAGGAAACATAATTTTTGACATGTATTGACCAATGCTACCTCAGAGACTGCAAACAAACAATATATGAGAAATACTTGAAAGAGATGACAGTGTGCTGAAAGCTTCTTACAGATTTTATGTATTTGTTTCCACAATAATGTAGATTTATTCTTTACTGTGAGGGCTACAAGCACCTAATTTATACTTTCTCTGGCATTGCTGGCGTGACTTTCTTTATTGGACTCTACATACATGGCAAGCATATTAATAAGTTTTAAATACATTACAAATGCAGTACAGTTTAGTGAACTCACCAGCATGAATACGGGCATCTTTTGCTGTAACGACAACAATAAAATTGCCACTCTCGGTCAAGCACAGATGGAAAATACTGAGACTGGAATCCTGCCACCAACCCATTATTTGAACATGTTTGATACCTGAGGAAAGAGAGAAAAGAAGCAACCACATTAAAAAAATTCTCTCTCTCTCTGTATGTAAGCATAAATGTGGTTGCAAGCCCTTTCTTGCAGGTCATTGGGAAGTGACAGCGTCTTCCAGGCCATATCAGGTCTCCAGGTGGAAGTTACCCATGGCCACTTCCCGGCCACCACACCTTCCTCATTTTCCGTCATCTGCCCACATACCATTTAGCCATGTGTCCTACTGTTTGAAGGCATCCTGTGTGTGATGCCCTCTCTAGTCCACACCTGAAGGTTGCATAATGTGTTTGGAATTAAAGAAAAACAAGGGAGAGCAGAGTTCTTCATGGGCAACCTCAACTTGATGGACAACAGTACCTGGACAGCAGACTGAGCAAACACAGAGAGCCTTTGGGCACAGTCCTCCCTACTATAGTGAGGTTGTTCTAGTTCCACTTAAATTATTACAATAATGTCTAAATTTGCATCCATATCTGTAAATCAGCATATGCACAATGTGTATGTGCCTGCATCCTCCTTTTGTTGAATTTTTATGATTGATTTCCTCTGTTTTGGTGAGTGCTCATGAATGGGTAGAGTCTTGGCATCCTCCCTTCGTCTATCTTACTCCCAACAGGCCAACTAGTAAAAGTTCTGATTGCTGAGGTGGTCTGCATTGGAAGCACAGACACAGCTGCATGGCAGATATGGCATCCCCCACATGGCTGTGCCAGTTCTTTTCTCTGAAAGCTTAATTTTTCATGAATGCAGTGCCAGTCAACATCCTCCTTCCACTACGTCTGAGAGCCTTTGCAAGGGAGTAGGGGGGGAAACATACATTTCCATGGTTAAAGCCCTTCTCTCCCTTTTCTTTTGCTGCCACTGCAGAGAAATATTTTCTTCTCCCTTTGCAATTGCAGGTCTGAAGAATCATGAGCCAAATTTCAGACAACACTGCCAGTCTGTCAGGCAACATTGATGGAGGATCAAGACAAGATTCTCACAGCCTTCAGTGTTTCACAGACAAAAAGGGAGTGTGTGCGGAACATTACATTCTCTTGAGATCAAAGCCTCTCTTTTCCATCCCTTGTCACACACTGGTATTCTGCCTTTTGTATGCTGCATCCATTTACTATACCAACTCTCCATCTTTCACCATATTAAAAGTCAGGAGGGGTTTGTTCTTCCTCATGCCACATCTGGTTTGTAAACAAGAGGCAAAACCACAGTTTCCTGGTTCAGATGTAACAGGAAAACTGTTTTGAGAAGTGCCAATGCTGGGAGAGTGAGAGAATGATGCAAAGGGTGAACAGGCACAGGGTTCCTTCTCAGCCCAGTAAACCATAGTTGAGATTGTTATGCCTAATGTTGCCACCTGAAGAGGTTCCAAAATCAGGAATACTTTGTGACACCATAAGAAAAGAAATATGTGTCAGAACATTAAAGGTATCGTCATACAAACTGTGATCCTGCAAGGGAAGAGTGAGCAATTTGTGGCCCCCCAGATGTTTTGAGTCTACAACTCCCATGAACCTTGGTCAGGATTGCCATCTATAAGGAAGGTGACCAAAACATCTGGATGACCACAAGTTGTTCAGTCCTGCTGAAAGGTACTCAGGACTAGCCCCAGATCTAACAGAGGGACCCTATCATTCCCCTGGTATGCAGGCACAGCTGTTGCAAAAGTATTGTTGGCCCCACCATTTTAATTCTTCCAGAACACATCTGGGTCACTCCAGAGTAGTTGGCATGTTAATGTTGCAGTGCCATTATGGAGGAATCAAAATGGTGGGCCCTCGCTCCAGTGCTAGGAAGTCCTCAGTTTCCACTAGCCCAGTGCCGTGGGCAACTGCCTGTAAAGTACTTTTCCCATTCCTCTTTTTTACTTAGTTACTTGTTGCCTAATTTTCCTTGTGAAAGCCCAAGGCACGTGCACTAAGAAAGTTATCAGTACTCCAGCTGCCACTGGCAAGTGTACAGTTTATTCCAGTAACAAAGTGTCCCTGTAGACCAGGAATGAGTGTTTTCACACGTCTGCCATGGAAACCAAATGATTAGTATGTAGAATGGAGTCACTACTGCAGTAACTATTTTGCTTCTTGAATCTGGGAACAGAGATCTCTGTGTTCTGTCTTTCAAATTCAAGGAGATAAGCTGCTCCTCCTTTTATTTTTTTTACCATCAGTGCCATGAAATTCTTTGAACCAGATTGTTTTGTTTGCTTTTCCTGTCTCAAGCACTGATATACTTTCTGTGAAGTATCAATATAACATAATTCCTCAAAATAGTGACATGGTCTTTGTGACGTAGTACCTCAATCAAGGATGTTGTTATCTTAAAACAGTACAAAGGTGGAAGATGGAGGAGGGATGCTATGAAACATACATTAAGTGCACAATCCTTTGCATGTTTGCCAGAAAAAAAAGTCTTACTATTCTCAGTAACTGGCAGGGAATTCTGGGGGTTGTGGAACTTTTTTCCTGTTGAAGCAAGCATAGGATTGTTCCCTAGGACTACTAATATAGAATTCTGTTTCAATTTCTAGTTCCAAAACCAGAAATGTTAAAAAAACCCACCCCTCATCACCTCAAATGCCTTCATAGCCTTGAACTGCTAATCTTTCTCATGTTGGAATTGCTTTCAAACTTGGCAGAAAACAAAGAGAATGGGACTAAAGGAAAGTGGCTGTACTTGGACATATCTGTGTTTTGTTTTTTACAAAGTATTGTGAATCAAACTGGCTCTGCTAATTATGTGACCTAATTTTATGATGCACCATCATAAATGATGTGCTGCTAGTAATGATAATTGTGCTGCTAGAGATAGAACATGATTTTAAAATTATATTTTTATTTTATTTCATTTTCAACAAATTGAAGCCACCCTTACATATTGAACCTTCCAAAAACAACATACAAAATAAAACACTAATTTAAAACAACACCCTTTTTTCCGTAAGGCAGGAAAATGAAAGTCAGGCCCATGATTGCTTGACGCTGCACACCCTTGTGATCCACTGTTGTCTCCACTGGAATGGATCTTGCAGGTTTTAGCTGCACTATAGTCCCCACCCCCATATACATTCTCTGTGGCCTTAACCACAGGGTAAGAGTGGGGCAATGTAAACAGAGCTGGAAAGTGGGAGGATCCCAGTTGATATCCTTGGGCGATAATCCAGTTCATTCACTGTGCTTGTGCTGGAGCAAACCAGTGTAAGCAGAACCTGATATATGCTTGTGAGGCAAAGGG